CTCGGCTCGGGGAGGGACCCGGGAGCCGGCGGGCCCCCCGCGCCCCCGCCCCGGGACCCTTCGCCGAGCAGGGGCTACCGGCGCGGAGCGGGGGGGAACGGGCACTGCTACGGGAATCCCCCCCCCACCTCCCCTGGAACGGCCGCGGGATGGCGGTGGCGTGAGGGCCGTGGCATCCCCGGGGGTGGCCGCGGGAGCCCCACGGGGTGGGGGCCGGGGATCCCCGGGTGACGGCCCCACGGTGCGGGTGGGGTGATGGCCCTGCGAGGCCCCGCGGGGCGATGCCACGGGCTCCCCCATCCGGTGGCCGTGCACTCGCCCTGGGGGTGGCTGTGGCGTGCCAGGGTTTGCCGGCCACCCACTCCCCTGGTGCCAGCCACAGCCTCCTCAGGGGGTGACGGCCATGTGCTCCCCCGGGGTGAGAGCCAGCACAGTACAGGGACAGTGGCAGGGAGGGCAGCTCAGCCGCTGACGAGTCCTTAACGGCCCCCGCCGCCGCAGCCCGCCGGGGTGCTGCAGTGGGACGGGTGGCTGTGCGGGGTGGGGATGCCAGCCTGGCCCCGAGGACAGCGAGGGACAGAGGTGGCACTGGGTGACGCAGCAGGCTGTCCTGGGGGCACCCCGCTCACTTGAGGCTGCCCTTGCCCCGGAGCAGACCCCTTGGCCGGCCTGCCCCGAGGACTCAGACCCCTGCACTAGGGCTCCCCCAGCCATTTGCTGTCTGGGGGCCGTCACCAGCTCTTCTCTGCTGCGCCCAAGGCCGGTGGTCACGGCTCCCATGGGAGATTCCCCCCCCCCATGCGCTCAGCTTGGGGGCGAGAACACCCGCTCTCCCTTCCCTGCACCCTGGGGCTGTGCCAGATGCTGGGAGCGTGGTTACAGGGCAGAGTCGTGCCCGCTCTGTGCCCGGGCCAGAGGCCGGGTGGATGACCGGGTGTGGGTGCCCGGCAGGGGTGCCCCACGCGGGCCGTGACCCTGCTGCCACTTCCTCCCCGTGGGCAGGGTGGCAGGCGCCTGCTGCAGCCGCACACACGGCGCATTGTTCTGCCGGGGCCCGGCCGGAAGGACTTCCTCCATCCCGGCCAGGGGATGACCCGGGGAAGCCGGGAGCTGGCAGCCCGCTCCCACCACGGCCGGGCAGAGCGGCTCCGGCAGACGGCCAAGCCCCGCCACCTCGCTCGGAGCAGGGCTGTGTTGGCCGTGTCTTCCCTGGCCCCCTTGGCTCCGGCCCCGACTCACCTTGCTGGAACTTGTCTCCCGCGATCGGACCTCACAGCGCAGCCGTGGCAGCCCGGCAGTGCCGGCTCGACGGGTGTGGGGGTGCCCGAGCAGCACCCACGGCGGGCAGGAGGCTGCGGCCATGCAGGGGGGCTTGGGTGCTCCCTCGGGGCATGGGGAACGCAGAGGCGGGGGGCACGCTGGGGCCCACGGGCATCGTCAGGCCAGGGTGAGGGCGATCGGGGGGAGCTAGGCCTCCGGCCCCGCCAGCGCCGGGGGCCGGGAGCTGCCTTCCCCTTCCCCACGGCGGCGGGGGGAGGCAGGCGGGGGAGCGCTCCCCGAGCCACATGGTGGGCTGGAGGAGGAGCCGTTGCCCAGGCAACAGCTGAGAGCATCCTTCACCCCTGAAAATCGTGTGCCGGCACTGCCGCCACAGCCCCACGGCTCGGGGCACGACCCAGGACCCCCAGCACCCCAGGGCCCACCCGGAGCTCACCCAGGGCCTGCCGCGTCCGTGGGGCCCAGACCCACCCATTCCAGCTCTGGCTGTATATACTAGCGCCCACTCACCTGCACGCTGCTCCCCCCCCCAGCAAGGAGAGGGATGGGGATGAGGCCTCCCCTAAACACCCAGGACTGGGACACTGCTGGGCAGGGGGGAGCTGGGGACAGGCAGAGCCCCTTCCATGCCCTGCTCACGGCTCAGGGCAGGCTGCCCACACCCCGGTCCTGCCCGCAGAGCCACGCTGACCATCTGACGGACACCGCTAACACGCTGCTGACCCCAGGACCTCGGTGCCAGGGTGCCACAGCCCAGGCAGTGCCAGCAGGGCAGCACAAGCATCCCTGGCCAGTGCGGTGGGAGCAGCAATCCCCAGGCAGTCCCCATCCCCCCGCCCTGCCTGCCTGCCTTCCTTCTACGGCTGCAGAAAATTCCTGGATTTTACCCCAAGATGCCCCCTCCGAGTGTGAGAACTCCTCCTCGGCCCGCTCCCATAGCAACTGTTCCCTAGCTACCCAGCCGCACTTGCTATTCTCATCCCTGTGCAGCTGTGTGCGGCCCCCCCCGCGCTGCGCACGAGGCTGCCGCTGCTGCCACCGGCCCTGCCGCCAACCCCGGACCCCAAACCCACCCTGCATCCACCCTGAACCTGGCTGTCCCCTTTGCACACTCCCCCATGGCGACTGTCGTGACCCTAACCCTGCTCACGCCGTGTCCCCGCTTTCAGGGGCTGTCCCTTGGGCTAAGGAGGCAATGTTCTGTGCTTCCACAAGGTCCCCCTCTGCACGGTCCACCCCCCCCAACCCCGAAGGAGCAATGCACAGCACCCGGAGGGGAGCAGGACTCTGACCCCAGCCCCACAGCACACCCGTGACATCCCAGGAGGGGCTGTGCTGAAGGCAAAGGGGAGCGGGGTGACATGCCCCAAAGGGAACCACAGCAGACAAGAGCACTCCAACGGCACAAGGCCTTGTACCTGTCATGGCCCTGAACCGACCAAAACCACCCAGCAGAAGCCACTGAGGGCGACCTGCGGTCCCCGGGGCTCAGCATCAGCCCTTGTCCTGGTGGGCAGCCCCAGCCCTTCCCTGCAGGACTGGAGCACCAGCCCAGGAACAGGGGTCCCTGCTCCTCTCCTCCTTACAGCCACCAGCCCTGTATGGCCTGGAGCTGTGCTGGCACAAGGTCCCCCTCTGCACGGTTCACCCCCCTTGACACGACAATAGAAGGCACGGCAAATCTTATGCTTAACAAAAGGTTAAAAATTTAAATACTCTCCAACTTTAGTGCAAGGCAAGCAAATGATACCACAGGTCCAAGTAGGTGCTCAGCCCCCCCGGGGGGGCCTGGCTCAGAACGAGCACGAGGCGGCAGCATGCACACACGCACGCACGCGTGTGCATACACACACAGAAGAGACGAGTTACTGCTCAGGACACAGCTGGGATGAGTGTGCACAAGAGGAGAACAGGACAAGCAGTATGGAGAGGCGGGCTGAGCCCCACACTGCTCCCCAGGGACACGCAGGGCTCCAGCCCCTCCACTCCTGCCCTGCCCTTAGGGACAAGAGCTGTGCTGGCTCCCCAGGACCCCTGAGGATGCACACGAAGCTGGTACAGCAGGCAGGCTGGTCCCGGCCCCATTCACTCTTGGGCCGCAGCTCACAGCATGAGACCAGTAAGGGACGTTCTCTTTACCATGGCTTTGCTCCCTGAGAGCAGGGTCCCTTATGTGTCTGTTCCTCCGACACCGAGCTGGGCCTGGAAATGGCGGCACCCCCAGCACACACAGATGGCTGGTCCGGAGCTGGTGGAACTGCGTTGGGGCCATCCTGCACCATGCCAGGGATCAGACCGACCCTTTGGACCCAGCAGCAGCTACCTTCTGAGCATGTGGCGTGGGAGCAGCTGTGTCCTGCTGTGCCACAGGCAGCCTGCCAGCGGTCTGGAGAGGGGACCAGGATCAGCTCCCCAGAGCTGGCAGCATGTGCAAGACGAGGCAGGAGGAAGCAGGCTCCGGCAGACAGGGAAGCGAGGATGAGGCAGTGACGCTCTGCTGCCAGGATGCAATGGTAGACGCTTTGGCACAGCCGTTTCCTGTGCCTCGGGGCTGAGCAATGGACTCCGCTGGAGCCAGGGACGCCTCAGCATGGCCAGAAAGGTCCAGGAAAGATGCTTTAGGCACCTCAAGGCATAGAAGGCCTCTGCCCAGGACTCCCTGGTACAAAGCTGGGACCGTCGCTCCCCCCATAGGAGGACATTTGTGCCTGTGACAGGGTGGGGGCACTGCAGGCCCCCACCTATAGATTAAAAACTGACATGTGATATGTACAGACCGACATATATAAATATACACCAAACCTGCAGTGCTACTTTGGCACCATGGAATGTGTCAGCAGAGCTGCTCCAGCCTGGCCTTGGCCCACGCTGGTGCAATCCCTCCCTCCCACCCTGGGCCCAGGAGGGGAGCAGCAGCCAGTGGGCAGCAGCAGCAAAATCCCAAGTGGCAGATTCAGA